GCTTGCGTAATGATGCTTTCTGGGGAAAGCAGGACCGCTCCCAAACAGGTCCAAAATGGCTTGAGAGAACAGGGAAAGGAGACTGACTTGGGCTTTTTATGGTGGTGAAGGGTTAGGGCCAGCATGATGATTCCATATGCAGTTTAAACTTCCCACAAGTGTCAAAGAAGGAGCAGCCAGGCTTATCAGCTTGCTCAAATATGGAACAGAATGGGAAGAGGGAGGAGTGAGGCTTTTTTTTTTTTTAAGATTTTTATTTATTTATTTGACAGACAGATCACAAGTAGGCAGAGAGGCAGGCAGAGAGAGGAGGAGGAGGCAGGCTCCCTGCTGAGCAGAGAGCCCCATGTAGGGCTCGATCCCAGGACCCTGAGACCATGACCCGAGCTAAAGGCAGAGGCTTTAACCCACTGAGCCACCCAGGCGCCCCAGAAGTGAGGCTTAAAAGCTGTCGGCAGTCAAACATAAAACACGCCATCAGACTCTTTATTACCTGTTTTATATAAAGGTAGATCAGGAAAAGACTCTGGAAGAGAGACATTTTAGCAGAGATCTGAAAGAAATGAGAAAGTGAATCATGAAGTTATTTAGAAAAACATCTTTCCTGGTAGATTTAAAAGTCCAGAGGCAGGAGGGGACTTGGTATGTTTAGGAAACAGTAGGGCCCCTGGGTGGCTCAGTCAGGTAAGCATCTGCCTTTGGCTCAGGTCATGATCCCAGAGTTCTGGGATCAAGACCCACACTGGGCTCCCTGCTCAGCGGGGAGTCTGCTTCTTCCTCTGCCCTTCATCCTGCACATGATTTCTCTCGATTTCGCACTCTCAAATAAATAAAATCTTAAAAAAAGAAAGAAAGAAAAGAAACAGGAGGTTTTGAACAAAATAAGATAACTAGCTAACACCTAGTACATGCTCTAAGAAGCAGTTTTGTAAATGGTATATATGTATTTCAAAGTTATATGTTAATGCCATTTTTACTTTAAAATGAGAAATGTGATGGGGCGACTGGCTGGCTCAGTCCATAGAGCATGTGACTCTTGATCTTGAGGTTGTAAGTTCAAGCCTGTGTGGGGTATACAGATTACTTAAAAAAAAAAAAAAAAAAGAAAGAAAGAAAGAAAGAAAGAAAGAAATGTAACAAGTATGCCTAATATCAACTGTTGGAAGAGGTTCTAGCCAGGAAAAGCAAGCAAGAAAGAATAATGACTGAAAAGGAAGAAAAACACAATTTTTGTGGCATAAGATGTGATTGATTCTTAGAAAACCCAAGAGAGTTTATAGTGAAATTATTAGACTGAATTCAAGATTCCAAAATATAAAACCAATGTATAATAATGAGCTGCATTTCTTCATACCAGTAAGAAATAGTTAAAAATGTAAAATTTGAAAAATATCAATTACAATGTTATCAAAAGTATATAGCAATAGTTTCATTTAACAAAGATTATATATAATCATGGAGAAAATTATAAAACTGTTGAAAACTTTAAAATATGCAAAATAAATACTTATATCTAGGAAAATGCAATATCATAGATGCACCAGAAGCATTTCTTGTCAAATCTATAAATTCAGTTCCATGCCAGTCTAATGCCAGTGTGGCATTTCATAGAACCAGTTGATTCTAAAATATGGGATAGCAAGGTACCAAGATAAACAAAGGTTTATCAGGACAACAAGGCCAGGGGGTATTGGATATATAGATACCAAAATTTATAAACTTATTAAAGTAAGAGTGTGGTTTTGGCACAGTGATGGACCATCAACCCAAGACACTAGAAAATAATTTCCAGTCCCTGTTGAAACCCTTACATCCATTTTCATCTAACGGTATTGATCAGTTAAAGTTCTTGCCTACCATTTCCAATGTTTTGATCATCCACGGATATGTTCCTGTTGTTTTAGGTTTTGATTATCAGTCACTCTTGCCTGCCTTTTTATGTATCTACAACCACTACTATTATAAGCTGGATATTGGTTGTTCTAGGTATCTCCCACTGGTAAGGGTCTCTACCTTTCTTTTGTAAGGTAGATAAAGTGAGAGACTGATTTCCTCAATGTAATCAGATTGAGCTGGATTGGGGTAGGCTGCATTTTAAATAAGACTTGGGCCCCTACCTAGAGCCTGTTACTCCTTGTGTTCCTTGGAGTTGTTTTTTTTTTTAAGATTTTATTTATTTATTTGACAGACAGAGATTACAAGTAGGCAGAGAGGCAGTCAGAGAGTGAAGGAAGCAGGCTCCCCGCTGAGCAGAGAGCCCGACGCGGGGCTCCATCCCAGGACCCTGGGATCATGACCCGAGCTGAAGGCAGAGGCTTTAACCCACTGAGCCACCCAGGCGCCCTGTTCCTTGGAGTTTTAATTGAGATCCTAGCAGATCTCTTGTCTCCTCAGTCCTGAAAGATGGTGGGGGTGGGGAGGCTCATTTCTTCCCTGAGGAAGATTTGAGTTCCATGAACCCTCAAAATCTGACCAATAATTTTCATAGAACACTTCCTTTAAACAGGACTTAGTCTCATATATATCTGAGTCTGCATAGAAGACTTCACTCTGTTTTTATACTTAGGTCTTTAACTTAATTGGAATTTTTATTTATGATGTGAGATGGGGGAATATAATTGGATTATTTTCCATACGTGACAGACTCTTGGCCTTGTTCCTCCCTTTATCCATATACCCCTTTCCCTGTAACTCTGCAGTTCCTTCAACTGAAAAGGCTGAGAGTGTCCCTTCTCCCATCCTTATCTTTTAGACATGGCCATGGGCTATGTGGATGTCAGACAGGTAATGCAGGCAAATCTTCCCTCTTGTACCTCTGCTATCACCATAAGAACATACTCTGAACAGCCTGCTAGTCCAAGAACAGTGAGAAACTTATGGTACAGAGTTCTCTGAATGACCTGTGGTCCTAGATCTTGAAGTAGAACCCGCCAGCTGAGCCCAGCCTAGATTCTGATTCTTGGGTGTGTGCCCTAACCCAAATAAGAAAACGGATGCCAGGACCAAAATGCAGAAGTACAAGAACCTTAAAAAGGTGAAATAAGAAATAGGATTAAAACACTTAGCACAGTGATGGGCTCAAATAGAGCCAATGATAAATATTAATCAAATTTTAAAGTTAAAACCTTTTACAAACTTATGCATAGAGAGTATAGTGTTTCTCAAATATGATTGTGCGTAAGAATCACAGCTGAGCTTCCAAAAAATAGGTCTCTCTTTTGAAAATTCACATTCCTAACAGATATCCCCATACATTGTTTTGGTAGGGACTGACACCATAGCAATCCTATTTTCCTAAATATCTTAGGAAAGGAAGTCAAAAACTTAAATAATATCTTAGTCAATACAAAACTTGAAAAGACTCATGAGTGATGGGGGCCACAAATGGTCAGGAAGAAAGTCTTGAGGGGCACCTAGGTGTCTCAGTTAAGCATCTGACTCTTGATTTTGGCTCAGGTCATGAACTCAGGGTCATGAGAGTCCTACCTCAGGGTCCTTACTAAGCACGGAGTCTGCTTAAGTCTCTCTCCCTCTCTCTGCCTCCCCATCAACCCACTCAGCACACTCTGTCTCTGAAAGAAACGAGAGAAAGGAAGAATTAATGAATTCTTGAGACTTCTTTTTCAAAAATCTTTTTCAAGATTTCTCTGGTGCTTGTCAGTCAGCTCGATATTAACTATGGGTGAGATCTAAAGGGAGTCAATGAGACCCTTTAAGAATGTATGAGCCAGTTCCGGTTTGATCCTTATCAAAGCTATATAGGCTATAGGTCAGCCTTTTGGGCTAAAGGTGAACATTTTTCTGCTTCTATCCCTCATCAATGGTAAATGCTATAGGACGCCTGGGTGGCTCAGCCAGTAAAGGGTCTGCCTTTGGTTCGGGTCATGATCTCAGGGTCCTGGTATCCAGCCCAGTGTCCAGCTCCCTGCTCAGCAGGAGTCTGCTTCTCCCTCTCTCTCTGCCCCTCCACCCCACTCATTCTCTTTCTCTCAAATAAGTAAATCCTTAAAAAAATGATAAACATAATTCCTTAGAGTTTTGTAATATAAAATAATCTAGCCTCCTCTATGGAATTAATACTAATGACATACCCTTGAGGACTCAGACTGAAGTTATATAATTGCTTCTTCATCTTTTAAAGTACTACTTATTCTCAGTTACTCAGGCATGAAATAAAAATTAAGCTCAGATTACATGCCAGTGTCTATTACGCTTCCTGGAGATAGTCGCTCTCCAGGAGGTTACAGCTAAGAGGAAAACATAAACTAATTGTTCAGTACAATTTTAAGTAGTGATAAGCACGATTTATGTTTTTCCTCAAATTACGTCCTTGTTTCATAACTCTTCAGACATGTTTCTCTACGTGTAAACTCTCAAATCTCAGCATTGTCAGAGGAACTCTAATCGCGAAGACCCAGGGACCCATTCATTTCCTTTTCCCTGCCTCTCTTCGGCCTTTTTGAACTTCCCATACTCCATCACTTGAAGCAAGTAACACTTTAAAATGCAGACGGAGGGACGCCTGGGTGGCTCAGTTGGTTAAGCCGCTGCCTTCGGCTCGGGTCATGGTCCTGGGGTCCTCGGATCGAGTCCCGCATTGGGCTCCTTGCTTGGCAGGGAGCCTGCTTCCTCCTCTCTCTCTGCCTGCCTCTCTGCCTGCTTGTGTGTACTCTCTCTCTCGGACAAATAAAATCTTCAGGAAAAAAAAAAATAAATAAATAAAATGCAGACGGACACCGCGCACCAGCCAATCCACGCCCTCGGCACCAAGGTCCCTCCTCCCCCTTCTCCCTCCCACTCCCGGCCACGCCTCCTACAGACCAGGAAGTTTTCCCTACGCTGCGCTGGGAAAGCCGGAAGCGCTCCCCCGGAAGCCCAGAGCGCCGGCGCCTCCAGGAGACTCTGAGGCAGGCCAGGGTACTGCGGTGCATTCTGGGAAAGTCGCTTGGACCTGGGCTTTGTTTCCCGCCCCGCAGCTGTGTTTGGTTTTCAGAGGTCCGCGGAGGTACCGCGGTTCCCGGCTTGCGAGCTCTCGTCGGAGGCGCCTCTGCTTCCCATCTCGGGTTTCGGCTTGCGCGGGTGTCCTCCCGACGCCTACCCCCGACGCCGCCAGCATGTCTGGAGTGCGCGCTGTGCGCATCAGCATCGAGTCGGCCTGCGAGAAGCAGGTCCAGGAGGTGGGCCTGGATGGCACTGAGACGTACCTGCAGCCGCTGTCCATGTCGCAGAACCTGGCGCGCCTGGCCCAGCGGATCGACTTCAGCCAGGGTTCGGGCTCCGAGGAGGAGGAGGCGGCGGGGGCCGAGGGCGACGCGCAGGACTGGGCTGGCGCCGGGTCCAGCGCGGACCAGGACGATGAGGAAGGTAAGGCCCGTGTGTACTGCTCTCGCCCGCCGGCGGGTCTGGGGGCCCCCCGGTACCCGCCCGCGTAATGCCACTCTGGCTCTCCCGCGCGTAGAGAGATGTGGTTGCGTGGGTGTCAGAACACTCCCGTGCGGAATAGTGATCATGCTCACTGGGGTCTTTTCGCAGCTGGGCAGTTTATGGCGCTGCCTGCCTCTTAATACTCCTTATCCTCCTGCACCGTTTCTCGAGTTGGAGCATTTGAGACACTCACTGATGAAGTGCTCAAGTCTGTAATGTGGCACACTTGGTTAAGGGGCCTGCGGTTCATATCGCTGCTCTTGCCATTATTGTCCGAGTTACTTTGCTTCCCTGAGCAATGGGGATGATGCTGATAACACCTGCTGAAAAAAGAGAGGTCTGTGTTGACTGGAATATGAGGTCAGGTCTAAGAGGTAGGCAGGGGCCAAATCGTGTCGAGCCATCAGGCCCAGATAAGCATTTGGGTTTTATTAGAAAGACAGCTGATAGCTTTTGGAAGGATTTTAAGGAGACAGGTGATTGTACGTTAAAAAGATTACTCTGGATTCCTTGTAGCAAATAGGTTACAGGGAAAACTGAAAAGAGGGAGGCTAACTAGGAGAGAATAGTAGAAAAAGTGTGAGTGGGTTTTGGATTCTCATTATTATCAGGGATTAAAAAATAAAATTCTTGATTTGGGTATGTGCAACAGACCCTGTGTAAATAGGAATTTAAAGATGGGTTCTCGAGCTAGTGGTGTTAGGACAGTTGGGGGTCCATTTGGGAGTAAAATATAGATACTATCTCATATTTAACACTCCTGATTACTTTAACAAGGATTGAAATGCAAATGAAAAGAATATAAAAAAATTGGAAGGAAGTTGTAGACCTAGAACTTTGGGAGTAGAAGAGATCTTAAGCACAATAGGAAACACAAATTATAAAGCCAAAGAGAGATTAATTACATAAATTTTAAAGTAATGATAAAAGGTGCCACCAACAAAGGAAATAAAGGAGAGACTGGGAAGACTATTGGCAACCTATTGGACACATAGTGGTTGCTGTCCCTGATGTTCAAAGATTCCCTGCAAACTGGGAGAAAAAAAGACAACTCACTGGGAAAATAGCCTGAAGGTATAAACAGTGGGCGGAAAAAGACACCGGATCTTACTAGTAGGGAGAGGCAAATTAAAATATTAAAACACTATTCTTGTGCATTAGCAGCAACTTAAAAGACTTAATATCTGTGTTGGGAATGTGAATTGGTAAAACCTTTTTGGAAGCCAGTTTTGCAGTTCAGTATGTGTCAAAAGTGTTAAATATGCATCTCCTTTGACCCACTAAATCACAGCTAGGAATTTAGTTTTCAGAAAAAGTTGTACACAGATGTGTGTTCAACGTGTTTACCACTACTAGCATTAGTGAAACCAACCTACTTGTCCATGAAGTAGGAATGGTTAAACTTACTGTATATAATATCCATGCTCCAGAATATCAAACAGAGTTAAAAGAATTAAATAGATCTATATGTGCTGGCATGGAAGTCTCTCTCTAGGACATAGTAATTGGAAAAAAAACAAGTAATAGAAAAATGGAGGTAAATATATGTGAATGCATTGAAAAGTATTTGCATGGGCACACCCCAGTTGTCAGTACTGATTACCTCTCAGGAGGGGAGAAAATTAGGGGTGGGGAATAAAGGAGAACTTTTACTTTTTACTCTATAACTCTATTTGAACTCTAGGCAGTGAGCATGTGGTGGTGAAATTTAGCAAAATGATTTCAGGGGTTGGAAGGCATGTTAACATTGTTTAGTATCTGAATGTTGCCATTATAGGTTCTTTGTATTTTTGTACTTTAAAATATTTTGGAAATGCTCTCCAATTATTCAAGTTTTAAGATCTGGTAGAAAAAGGTTATTTGTATAAATTTTAAAAAATAACTGCAATATGTGGAGATTAGATACCAAATTTGTTTTGCATTATAGGAAATGCTAACTTAATATTTACAGAGATTCAAGAAAGGGTGGACAGAATGGGATAAAACAGGAAATAATTTTAAATAAGTTATTGTTTCTTTTTTTGTACTTGTAACATCTAAATAAGATTTGTCTTCTAGTCATTATAACTCCTGTGAATTTCTTTCTTCCTTTCTCTTTTTAGGGTTGGTAAAATTTCAGCCTTCTCTTTGGCCTTGGGACTCCGTGAGGAACAACTTGAGAAGTGCCCTAACAGAGATGTGTGTTCTCTACGATGTCCTCAGTATTGTTAGGGATAAAAAATTTATGACTCTTGATCCAGTCTCTCAGGACGCACTTCCTCCAAAACAGGTATGTGTGGGCTTCAACTGAATAATGGTACCATTTTATTAAGTCCCAAGACCACTTCTCAGGCTATGGGCCCACTGTCTCCTTTACCTTTCATGCAAAATTAAGTCCAGATGAAGATCTAAAGACTAACGGGTTCAAAACAAACTGGCATAAAAATAGCATCTCCTTTACTTACTGTTTTATTAATGGCCCTGTGACCGTCAGAAGAGTTAAGTTTCATTAGTAATGTAATATTTTAAGGCTTACCAAATCTACCCCCACTTTTAAGATTTATTTATTTATTTTAGAGAGAGCTGAGAGCAGGAGCTCGAGGAGGAGCAGAGGGAAGGGGACAAGCAGACTCCATGCTGAGCTTGGAGCCCAACGTGGGGCTTGATCCCATGACCCTGAGCTGAAAAAGAGTCAGCCACCAACTGATTGAGCCACCCAGGAGCCCCTAAAGTTTCCCAGTTCTTAACAGATTCTTATAGCCTGGGTCATTGATTTGTAGTGTATTACACAAAAACATGATGATAAAACGCCTTTGGAGTCAGACTGACCTGGGTTCAAATCCTGCTTCTACCCTCACTAGCCCTGGGTCCTTCAACAAGTGATTCTCTCCAAGTCTCAGTTTTCCCCTTCAACCTCTTTTTGGGGCCTGGTTGGAAAAATTAGGCCACATTATGGAAGCAACTGAAAGCTAGGTAAGATTGTTGAGGTTTGATGAAGAGCATGTGCAGTGTTTGAACATTGGAAGGTGAAAGACAACAGAAGGAGGAATTGGTGTGTGAAGAGCCTGAGACAGGGAGGCCACTTAGGAGGTCATCAGGTCCGTGACCAGGTTAGTGGCAAAGAGAGGAAGTAACGGTTGTTTTTACCCTTTTGTAAGTGAAGTGAATTGACTAGAACTGCTCATGTGGTAAGAGTTTCAGGGTCCAGAAACATTGTGCTGGAAGATTTCTTAGAGACTATTCAGTCTGGTTCCTTTGTTTTACGGGGTGAAAACTGAGGCCCACGTGTTCAGATGCAGTAAAGTCCGTGGTTAGCGGCCAAGACAAGAATGCCAGCACCTTATTCCGAGCCCACAGCCTTCGCCACCTTCCCATGCTCTTCCCACCCATGAGTTTCCAGGAATTTCCTTAACTCTCCGGAAACTTAGAATTAGGTCTCTTAATATGGTCAAAAGATTATTACAGTGTTTTATGAGACTTGATTTTGACTCACACAGTCAACCTTTCTTATATTAAATTTGTCGTCTTCGAAGTGTATCTGCTGACTGGAGTACACAGATTGGTAGTTATCTTGGGTATTTATAATTACGATTTCTCATCAGTTTTCCAAAAATCAGCGTGCGGTAAAGTGCATTAATTTTTTTTTTTTTAAAGATTTTATTTATTTATTTGTCAGAGAGAGAGAGAGAGAGAGAGAGAGCGAGAGAGCAAGCACAGGCAGACAGAGTGGCAGGCAGAGGCGGAGGGAGAAGCAGGCTCCCTGCTGAGCAAGGAGCCCGATGCGGGACTCGATCCCAGGACGCCGGGATCATGACCTGAGCAGAAGGCAGCCGCCCAACCAACTGAGCCACCCAGGCGTCCCTAAAGTGCATTAATTTTAATGCTGTGTGGCTTCAGTCTTTGTTCCAAAGGCACGTTAGTAGCTTGTCATAATGTAAGATAATTTTACAGCTGTACTCACTGAGGTCATTTATTCCAGAAATCATGTATTATGTGCCGGGCATTGTTCTAGGGTCTTTGGGCATGGTAGGTTTTACCGTCATGTGGATGACCTTCGAGTGGGGATTACAGACTTTCACCAGCAGTATAAGGAGCGCCACAAAAGGGTGTACACGTGGGTTGGGGTGGGCATGTGCACAGCGTGAGAGGGGAACCCCATCCAAGATGGGCAGAGCTGGTGCAAGTTCTGATTTGTAGTCCAGTGTGGTGTTTGTGGTTTAACATAAGTTTGAGTTGATCAGAGAAATAGGTTAAGGTGGTTATCTTTCAAAAAACGGTGTTACCTGATTGTCTTTAATTTCTCAGTTTTATCTTCAGTAGGTATGTTATTATTAAGAGAATGTTGAAATCGTTTAAAAATGCAGAACTACACTATTGTTTCTGATAGAATCCACAGACACTGCAGTTGATATCGAAAAAGAAGTCGCTTGCTGGAGCAGCCCAGATCCTGTTGAAGGGGGCAGAAAGACTGACCAAATCAGTTACTGAAAACCAAGAAAATAAGCTGCAACGAGACTTCAACTCTGAGCTTTTGAGATTACGGCAACACTGGAAACTCAGAAAAGTTGGGGATAAGATTCTGGGAGATCTGAGCTATAGAAGTGCAGGTATAGATCATTGTTAAAAACTATGCTTTTAAACTACAGTGTGTCAAAAAACTACACAGGATTGACTAGAATGTTGCATGTTGTATAATATGTTCTCAGTTACATGTTACATTTTGAAGTTTTAATTTCTGTACACATAAACCTGATAAGCTGGAATTACTTTTATCATAGACATAGATTTATAGAATTGAATTTAAACTATTTATATAGTTACCTTTGAGTACATTTGGCAAAAATTTTATTTTTATACTGATTTTTTCCCCCAGATTTTTATTTAAATTCTAGTTAGTTAACATACAATGCAGTATTGGTTTCAGGAATAGAATTCAGTGATTTATCACTACATACAACACCCAGTGCTCATGATAACAAGTGCCCTCCTTAATCCCCATCACCATCTAACCCACTCTCCACCCACCTCCCTCACCAGCCCTCTAACATTAAGAGTCTCTTATGATTTGTTTTCATTCCACCCCCCCAATCCTTTATGTTCATTTGTTTTGTTTCTTAAATTCCACTTATGTGTGAAATAATGTTAAGGTATTTGTCTTTCTCTGACCAGCTTATTTAGTTTAGCACGATACACTCTAGTTCCATCCACATCGTTGCAAATGGTAAGATTTCATTTTTTTTGATGGTTGGGTAATATTCCAGTGTGTGTTGTGTGCCTGTGTACCACATCTTTATCCATTCATCAGTTAATGGACATTTGGGCTCTGTCCATAGTTTGACTGTTGTTGACAACACTGCTATAAACATCAGGGTGCACATGCCCCGTTCAAATTTGTATTTTTGTATCTTTTGGGTAAATACCTAGTGCAATTGGTGGGACATAGGGTAGCTCTATTTTTAACGTCTTGTGGAACCTCCATACTATTTTCCAGAGTGGCTGCACCAGCTTGCATTCCCACCAACAGTGTAAGAGGGTTCCCATTTCTCCACATCCTCGCCAACAATCTTTTTCCTGTGTTGTTGATTTTAGCCATTCTGACAGGTTTGAGGTGGTATCTTATTGGTTTTGATTTGTATTTCCCTGATGACAAGTGATGTTGAGCATGTTTTCATGTGTCTGTTGGCCATCTTGGATGTCTTCTTTGGAAAAATGTCTACTCATGTCCTCTGCCCATTTCTTGACTGGATTACTTGGTTTTTTTAGGGTGTTGAGTTTGATAAGTTCTTCATAAAATTTGGAAATTAACCCTTTCTTGGGTATGTTGTTTGCATATATCTTCTGGTATTCCATCGGTTGCCTTTTAGTTTTGTTTATTGTTTCCTTCACTCTGCAGGAGCTCTTATCTTAATGGAGTCCCATTAGTTCATTTTTGCTTTTGTTGGAGATTACATGGGTCCGTTTCTGGATTTTCTGTCCGGTTCTGTTGATCGTGGGTCTGTTTCTCTGCCAGTAACACACTGTCTTGATGACTGCAGCTTTGTAATGCAGCTAGAAGTCTGGAAATGTGGTGCCTCCAGCTTTGCTCTTCTTTTCGAAGGTTGCTTTGGCTATTGAGGATCTTTTATGGTTCCATACAAATTTAAGGATTGTTTGTTCTAGCTCTGTGAAAAATGCTGGGGGTATTTCAAGAGGGATTGTGTTAAGTGTGAAGATTGCTTTCAGTATTAGACATTTTAGCAATGTTTGTTTTTCCGATCCATGAGCATGGACTGTTTTTCCATTTCTTTGTGTCCTCTTCAGTTTCTTTTATAGGTGTTCTGTGGTTTTCAGAGCACAGATCATTTACCTCCTTGATTTGGTTTCTTCCTGCACTGTTTTCAGTGCAGTTGTAAATGGGATCATTCCTTGATTTCTTTTTCTGTTGCTGCTTACTGGTGTATAGAAGTGCAGCAGATTTCTCCTTCTTGATTTTATGTCCCATGACTTTGCTGAATTCATGTATGAGTTCTAACAATTTTTTTGGTGGAGTCTTTCTGGGTTTTCTAAATAAAGCATCATGTCATCTGCAAATAGTGAAAGTTTGACGTCTTCCTTGCTGATTCAGATGCCTTTTATTTCTTTCTGTTGTCTGATTGCTGAGGCTGCAACTTCCAATACTATGTTAAATAGTAGTGGTGGGAGTGGACATCCCTGTCTTGTTCTTGAGGGTAGAGGAAAAGCTCTCAGTTTCTCCCCATTGTGGGTGATAGTAGCTGTGGGTCTTTTGATCATGGCCTCTATCCTGTTGAGGTATGTTCTCTCTCTCCCTACTTGCTCGAGGGTTTTTATCAAGAATGTTTGCTGTATTTTTTCAAATGCTTTTTGTGCATCTATTGAGAGGATCTCATCTTTTCTTATGTAGATGTGGTGCATCGTCTTGATTGTTTGCGAATATTGAACCACTCCTGCAGCCTAGAATAAATCCCACTTGATCAATACATTTAGCAGAAACTCCAAAGATTGAGTTTATATGTTAACACATATTAAACCATAAATGACGTTTTAGTCAAGAGACTAAATATCTTCTCAATTAGGAGCTTACCTGTAACCCTTAAAAACTAAGCATAAAAGGAAAAAAATTCATCCATTTTATCTTAATTCTTTTTTTCTCCCCTAAGTCATCTAAGCTATTTTCACATCCTGGGCAAAGAGAGAGGGCAGTGAAAACACTTTGCTGCCTTTTTCTCCCATTCAGCCAAGGCTGCAGGAATGTATTTTGTTGGCAGTGTACCAAAGTTTGATGAGCTTGAATTCACATCTTGTATAATTCTTTGTTGTTGAGCTATAATAGGTTTTTGGAGGTAATCATGGTAATGGCTTGTAAGCTGCTAAGGGATATTCAGAGAAGCTACACAGTAAATGTTTACAAGATTTACAGCTCAGTAGAATTAAAGCTTTGAATGTCAAGGGATGAAGCAAAGAGTGAGCCCTCGCTGTGATTATTGTGATAACAACGTGATAACAATAGTAAAGTCGTATTTTAAAAGGACTCATTTGCCGAAGTAAGCCATTATTGACCCCCAAACCCCATCAGTAGTACTCAAGTTGAGGTGGTTTAAGTCAAGACACTGGAGCACCTAAGTGTTTCAGCATTGATGTGAATTGAGGAATTCTGAATTCTGAAGGTAGAATCCTACTCTGAAGATGAGTTCAAGATGACAAAACCTTTTTTTTTCCTTTTTTCCTTTTCTTTTTTTTTTTTTTTTTTTAAGGTAAATACCTTTTTTTCCTGCTTCCTTTCTTCCCTTTGCTTACTACCCTTCCGCCATGCCCCCCAAAACACATTTTGGGTGGGAGTTTAATTTATCATTCAGTAATGTTATATTCAGTGAAATAGTATTATTTTTTATTTATTTATTTATTTTTTAAGATTTTATTTATCTATTTAACAGGCAGAAATCACAAGTAGGCAGAGAGGCAGGCAGAGAGAGGAAGGGAAGCAGGCCCCCCGCTGTGCAGAGAGCCCGATGCGGGGCTCTATCCCAGGACCCCGGGATCATGACCTGAGCCGAAGGCAGCAGCTTAACCCACTGAGCCACACAGGCGCCCGGAAATAGTATTATTTACTAATGTATGTTAAATTAATGTGTTAACTGGTTCTTATTTTCCTATTTTTAATACCCCATTAGGATCTCTCTTTCCCCATCACGGTACATTTGAAGTAATAAAGAATACAGATATTGATCTGGATAAAAAGATACCTGAAGATTACTGTCCTCTTGATGTTCAGATTCCTAGTGATTTAGAAGGGTCTGCCTATATCAAGGTATTTGTAAAGTATTTTAAGTAATTATTACTTACCCCAGAAGTTAATTTGCTAACACCTTTTCATATTTTTATTGTCCCATAGGTTTCAATTCAGAAACAAGCTCCAGACATAGGTGATCTGGGCACAGTCAACCTCTTTAAACGACCTTTGCCCAAATCCAAACCAGGTGTGGTTATGTTCTGTCCTCTAACTTATAGTTGTGTCTGAGCTTATGTTTCCAAATAAACAGATGATAAATGTAGAGGGGAAAATAGGTACTTCAGAGTAAGAACAATTGGAAATTTATTATTTATAACCTGTTCATTAACCATTAGTGAATAGCTGTGCAGTTTTTTGTTTTTGTTTTTTTTTTAAGATTGAACTTCTTCACCAATTTTCTCTGTGTAAAAGAAAGGAAAATTTTTGTGTTTTGGAAACAATATGCTCTGGTATAGTGTTTTCTGAACTTTTGATATATGTATTCAGATCACCATTTAATTCATGCGTAATATAATTAGATAACTGATATATACGTATGTCTCCTATCTTTCAGGTTCCCCACACTGGCAGACGAAATTAGAAGCAGCACAAAACGTTCTCTTGTGTAAAGAAATTTTTGCACAGCTCTCTCGGGAAGCTGTTCAAATTAAGTCACAGATCCCTCACATTGTGGTGAAAAACCAGATTATCTCTCAGCCCTTTCCAAGTAAGAGCAGTCAACCCTTTCAAGTTTGTAAATAGGGATTTTGTGGTTTGGGGAGCAGGACAGAGTGGGGTAACTATGTATTTGGCTGTGTTGGGGGAACAGTTAGAGCAAAGAGGCAGCCTCCTAGCTATAATGGTAGCTCGTAAAGCATGCAGGACAAACCTCATTCTGTCCTGTGTCCTAAGTAGCTTAACTCCTGGATTTTAAGCCATGTATGTTAAACATTTGTACCAGTAACACTGTTACTTGGCAGCAGTGGCTGTGAGGTCTGTGCCAACACCATTTATGGAAGATTTTTTCAGGGATCCTGTCTTGCTGTCTAAATAACAGTGGTTATTCAGTATCTATAATATTCCTAAATTTGTGGAAATTGGGATTTTAATTATATTACTCAAGAGCAGTCAGACCTGCCTCAGAGAGCAATTTGTAGTTAGCTGTGTGCTTGTTTTTTATATAAATTCTAGGATGTATCTTTTTGGGGCTTGTCAAAGGAATGGGATTTTAGAATTGAAAAATTCCATCTTGGTTTTCATGGCAACAAGGAAGAGTATCTGTCTTCTCATCAGTAAGACCAGCCACCAACCCCGTATTTTATTGTTTTTCCCAAAAGTGGTGTTGTGTTTTGTTTTTGCTCTTTTTAAAGGCAGGAAGAAACTAATTAGTTAACATACACCTTCTGTTCACTTGTCTAACCATAGCTTAAGGTCAACAGCCACATTGCACGTCAAAGAATTTGAATTGTTAAAATGCGTAATATTTTATTATACTCACGGATAGTCATTTTGGTCTGAAAATGTTAATCATGAAGCCTGATCTTCAGTTTCGAATGGATCTTTTGAGAACGGGCTGTGATTGTACTTTTTGAAGACAACCGTGCGTTCCTATGTCTTCGGTTGATTTGCCTCTGTCCTGCTTCTTTTTATAAATAGGCTTACAGTTACTGATTTCTTTGTGCCATTCCTCAAATGATAAGAAATCCCAAAAGTCCGCTACTGAGAAGCCAAGTCCGGAAGACCATCTTTATGTCTTAGAGCATAATTTGCATCTACTAATTAGAGAGGTAATGAGTGAAATGTTCCTTCTTGCATGGTGGGAGGCATGTCTGGTGCAGCACACGTGCACAAGCTCCTCTCTATGACCGTCACTGTCTGTGATGTGCAGGATCCTTGCTCTGTGCTGGGGGAACACACAGATAAGCAGGATTATCAGTCTGTCCCTGAGCATCGCTTGTGGTGGTGGAAATACACCACAAGTCATGTCTAGGCGCGTAGGAAGAGCAGGTAGCGTAGGGAGGGAAGGGTGATTCTGGTTGTGTGATGGGGACGGTGTCTTTCCAGAGCCTGTGAACAGGATAGTTGGGTTCTTTCAGGATGAATTCTACTCCGGTTATCTAGAACTGTGTTTCCAGGGAGCTGGCTCACAGTTTAGGCTAATTTCAAAACAGTCCCCTGAGAAACTTCACAGAAGTGTGTATTCCAGTCTCCTCTGCCTTTAACGTATAAGCAGTAGTTGTTTTTTAATAACTTTTTAAAAAAAATTTGTAACTTTATGGTGACAGAGGTTGGTTAGACTTGTTATGAATCATTTTACCATATATACAAAAATCATGTCGTGTGCCTTAAACTAATCTAAGTTGTCAATTATACTTCAACAGAAAAATTAATAATAAATGGCTGTTCTTGTTACAGTTTCATAAACAGACCTTGAGTTCCATCGTGATGCCTCATCCAGCAAGTGCCCCTTTTGGTCACAAGAGAATGAGACTTTCAGGTCCTCAGGCTTTTGATAAAAATGAAATTAATTCACTACAGTCCAGTGAAGGGCTTCTAGAAAAAATCATTAAACAAGCAAAGCATATTTTCCTGAGGAGCAGGTAAGGATGAACAAAGCAGCTATTTTTCTTGGAAACTACAGTCATCTTTCCTTTATTAGTTACCTTATACACATTATTTTTGCCATGAGATGACCTTCTTTCCTAGGAAGAGGAGGGTGACTGCAGGGAAAGCATTTGCATCTGGGGATGGTCCTGTCAGGTTTGGAGAAGTCTGAGCTCCGGGGCTCATGTCGCTTTTGAGATGGTTTCTGACACTGGCTACAGTTTTGAAAGATACCTCGCTAGGAATGTGCCTTAGAACTCCTCACCTTCTTCAGTGACACATCCACCAGAAACCTGTTCCTGAACTGATTTTAATCTTTTCTTGAAGCTTTTGCTATGTTTTGGCTGTCCCACTTCCTAAGACTTTAGAAGGCACTTTCCCATATGTTGACTTATCTAGCTCTTCTTCTCTGGCATAGGTGATGTGAGCCCATTTTCACTGATGGGAAGGTTGAAGCCTAGAGATGTTGTGTAGCTCCCTCACAGACAGCTGAAGAGAGTGGCAGAATCAGGATCTGCACCCAAGTCTGTGTAGCTCCAAACCTCATGCTCATCTTACTTCTGTACACATCATTTACAAAAGAACTTAGCGTGATCTGACCTCACTGTATCTTTTTCAAGTGCTGGAGGTGCTCTTGTATTTTATTTTTGGTCCTCGGTGAAGAGGGCTCTTTTTACTTTTCAACATTGTGCCTGGCTAGAACTCCAGACCTTCAGGTATGGGCCCACTCTGCTCTGGGTGATAGTTTTTGATTTTCATTTTTTCCTACTAACACAAGTCCTGGTTTTAATGGTGCTTTAGTTTGTATTCTTTGAATGGAAACTTAATGTCTGCATCTTTTAGTAAAATCAATTAGGAAGACGTGTTAGAGAAGATAGGGTGGTGCTTCTGGAGTAAAAAAAAGTGTCTAAGCCAGAGCTCAGTCACCTGCTAACTCACTTTAGTTTTCATGTCTGTGGTCCTCTACGTGTTTCTCTGTCAGTTAAGGATACAGGAGTCTGGTCTTAGGATCAAATTAAACAATGTATGCAGAAATTCCTTATAAAAATCAAATATGGTAGATTACTATTGTTCCTTCCACTTGTACATTTCTTTTTTTTTTTTTTAAGATTTTATTTATTTATTTGACAGCGAGAGATCACAAGTAGGCAGAGAGGCAGGCAGAGAGAGCGGAGGAAGCAGGCTCCCTGCTGAGCAGAGAGCCCGATGTGGGGCTCGATTCCAGGACCCTGGGATCATGACCTGAGCCGAAGGCAGAGGCTTAACCCACTGAGCCAACCAGGTGCCCCTCCACGTGTGCATTTCAATTATAGAAACCTTTACCCAAAAGTCAGGGGCATAGAAGTAGCTATTTTTAGAACCATTATGCATTTCAGAGTATTAGTCAAAGTCTTAGAAGCAGCAAAGCTTGCAAAATGCTCCTGTTTTCCCCCAGTTACAAAAGTGATGTTCCAGTGTATCAGCCTCATCTGTATCGATACCATACACAGCAAGACCGACTGCCCATGTGTTTTGATGTGTGTGCGCCAGGGTGTGTGTGTCTTTAAAAAAAAAAAATAGAAAATCTGGAATCATAAAATTTTATGTCCTGCCTTCACTTAATATTGTAAAGTTTTTAAATTTTTCATTTATTGTTTTTCAGAGATATTTTAATAGCTACTTAATATCTCATCTTATGAATAGTCCCTGATTTCTTTTACCAATTCTCAATTGCCAGATACTTTTTATTTCCAGTATGTTGAAACATAATACAAGAATGAACGCTCTTGGATATAGCCCAACCTGCCCTAGGAATTTTTTTTTTTTTTTAAAGATTTTATTTATTTATTTGTCAGGGACAGAGGGAGAGCGAGCAAGTGAGCACAGGCAGACAGAGAGGCATGCAGAGGCAGAGGGAGAAGCAGGTTCCCTGCTGAGCAAGGAGCCTGATGTGGGACTCGATCCCAGGACACTGGGATCATGACCTAAGCCGAAGGCAGCCTCTTAACCAACTGAGCCACCCAGGAGTCCCATGCCCTAGGAATTTTTGAAGCACTCTCAGGGAAACGATCCCAGGAAAGGAAGAGAAAGTTAAGGGATTGAAAGAAACCCGTACCAGAGCAGAAGCAGTAAAAGAGCAGATCCCAATGCCCCTTGACCTCAGTGGCTGTTTGCATGTCTTCTGGCTTTTTCCTTCTCTTCCCAGTCAAGTGCTAGAATCAGAAAACTGGAACCCAAGGACCTTCAATAGTTTGGTTAGCTTTCATGATTTATGCTTTTTCTGGGCAGTGGCTGTTGATTAGCTTATATAAAAAGGACGATTACTGGCTATAGTGTTATAGCCCTGGGTTTTTGGTTCTGGAGTTAGGCTACCAGTTTTGTGCCCCAGTTCACGGCTGTGTAACCTTGGGCACATTACTAAACATGGCTGGACTGAAAAATAGGGATAATAATGGTATGTATTTGACATGGTTATTGGTGCATACATACAGACTTAAATCCTCTCTCTCATGTGTACATATAGTATTTATCTTTCTTGGAGTGTAAGATTTTCATTGTGCACAAAGTGTCGCTGGCTTCTCATGAAAACAGTTGTCATTACGTGAGTGATGGGCCTCAGTTGTGGGTGTGTCCCATGTTACCAGGGACCAAGGACTGCCATCTGTGAGTGGTGTATGTTCTTTTTAGAGCTGAGGTTTGTACCCTAAGAGTACCTTTCTTCCCTGTGTTCTGGTAAGTCTTCCTGAGAGAAAACAAATTGGAGTTCAGAGGAAGTCAGCCTGTGTGAGAGCACGTGTCATAGTGGGGCACTGAGCACCCGCCCCAGGCGGCCCGAAGAAGGCTCTCATCCCCTCATCTGACTTTTTTTTTCTTTAAAGAAAAGTCTCTGCTTTTCAAATGTGGTATTTTTGAAAAGTAGTTCTCTTGTTTTCACATAGCCGTAACATTGACAAGTATTTATAATCTTATGGTTTATATGGTACCTTTTTAAAAATGTTGACTTCTTCTCTTTAAAAGAACTGCTGCGACCATTGACAGCTTAGCAAGTCGCATTGAGGACCCTCAGATACAGGCTCACTGGTCAAATATTAATGATGTCTATGAGTCTAGCGTGAAGGTTTTAATCACATCACAAGGCTATGAACAGATATGCAAGTAGGTATCAAAAATAAGTCATTCATTTAAAATGTTAAGTTGCTTTTATGTGTTGATGTTTGTTGAGTGATTACATTGAGATTTTTGGATTTTATTTGCTATGGTGACATGACATTCCGGTAAATTTCATCAAGGGTAGAGCATCAGGATGAGAGGTAAGAATGTCTGAAATAGTCCCTGGTATGTAAATGTCATGTGTCTGAGTTGTTTAAAAAAAAAAAAAAAAGAACCTCCTCGTTGAGGGGGAAGCTACAACACCTCAGCCTGATCTGCTTGAGTTGCTGGCTGGGGGCTGCGGTCTTGAGGCTGGGGTATTTGAAGTGAGTAGGACCATTTATAGTGGAGCCTATACTCCATATTGTGCCTAGAATGGCCTGAGTTTTGTGGCTCTCTCATGGCCACAAAACTATGGCGTGGTGCTAAACTTAATCTAATCCAGTTCATGATTATGCTCTTAAAATGGGGCTGAGAGCTGTGTCCGTGAAGGGCATGAAATGACTTTTGACCCCATCATTCACAGAGAAGTGTTGTTCCTGATTTACACTCAAAAATCACAAGCTAACATACAGCGGACAGATTGGTGGTGCCAGACATGGCAGGGGTGCGGGGTGGATGGGGGGCAGAATGGGTAAAGGTGTTCAGAAGGTGCAAGCTTCCAGTTACAACCTGCAAGTTCTGGGATGCAGTGCATAGCGTGGCGACTATAGTTCATAATACCATGTTGTATATTTGAAAGTAGCTAAGAGAGTAGATCTTAGAAGTTCTTATCACAAGAAGAAAAATGGGTATCATGTGAGGTGATGGGTGTTAACATACTATGATGATCATTTCACAATATGTACACTTACTAAATCATTATGCTGTATGCCTTAAACTAATTAATGCCATATGTCAGTTACATCTCAGTAACTAACTGGGGGGAGTAAACGAAGTTAATAAAATAAAATTAGCAAGTAGCCACAAAAGGCATTTTTGGCCTCCATTTGAGCCTCTTTGACATTTAACAACGGGCGGGATATAGTGGGAGCGCCCTTCCCTAGGCCAGTCTGAGTGAGCCAGCGGCAAACATTCATCAAGGCTGGTGAATGCCTGTTATTTTTCAAACGTTAGTTGCTTGTTTCAGGCAGACCTAACCAGTCACAGTGGTCTCTCCAATGAGCAAACACACCACAGCATGAGACGGGGGAGGGTCAGAGGGAGAAGCAGACTCCCTGCTAAGCAGAGAGCCCTCAGCTGGATTCGATCCCTGGAGCCCAGGATCGTGACCTGAGCCGAAGGCAGTTGCTTAACCAACTGAGCCACCCAGACACCTCAAGTATAATACCCTTAAATTGCACTTTTTTAATACTGAGACTTTAATTTACTGTTTTTTAAAAATGAAAAATAGTCAATGAACATGATTTAAAAGATTGAATACAGAAGATAAAAGAATACAAAATCAGTCTGGCAGCTTCCAGGAAAAGATGGTGGGGTGAAGGTAGATCATGGTTTTCTTCCCCTATACCTATAGAAACAGAATAATTGGAGTGACTTGGGCTATGGTGGGAGAGTAGTGGTTGAGTAAGATAAAAGAAGTTTGGCTTGCATTTTAACTGTTAGGGCTAGGTGAAGGCGCCATTGACTTTCATGATATTTCTTTTGGTTATGTTACTATATATACAGAATCTATAGTAGTATATACTTATGTTTGTGTTTAAAAAGGTCCATAATAGGGGCGCCTGGGTGACTCAGTGGGTTAAAGCCTCTGCCTTCGGCTCAGGTCATGATCCCGGTGTCCTGGGATCGAGCCCCGCATCGGGTTCTCTGCTCCACGGGGAACCTGCTTCCCCCTCTCTCTGCCTGTCTCTCTGCCTTCTTGTGATCTCTGTCTGTCAAATAAGTAAATAAAATCTTAAAAAAAAAAAAAAAGGTCCATAATAAAATGTTAAGAGAAAGAGCACAAAGGAGTGGAAAAGGAAAAAAATTATCATCATTGAGTTACTTACTTTTAGATCTAAGACCAGACAATGTGAGACTGGTTCACAGTACCCAGTGGTTATAAACTTCTGTGAAGAAGAGTTAGTGATAAACATAGCCGTGATAGCATTAGGAAGGAAAGGAAGTCATAGAACACCCTTTCCTCATCTTTTGTAGCTGGGGTCAACTTGCGCTACTTAAAAGTTCAAAGTAGTTCTCTCAGAACTTTCCAGGAGCAGGCATTTCCTTTCCTATTCTTTTCTCTTCTCTTCTTTTTCTCTCTTTCTTTCTTTAATTTGAATGAGAGAGCATGAGCCAGCAGAGGAGGGGGCAAAGGAAGAGGGAGAAGCAGGCTCCCTATCAAGCACAGAGCCTGATGCAGGGCTCGATCCAAAGACCCTGAGATCAGGACCTGAATTGAAGTCAGGTGCTTAATGGACTAAGCCACCCAGGCTCCCCCAAAAGCAAGCATTTAAAACAGTTTCTACACATCCTTCCAGGAAAGTCTGTGCATTTACAAGCATATATATATATCCTGCTTTTTTCCTACAATATTTTGTGCCTTAAAATATTGAGATATAATTCACATAACCTAAAATTCACTATTTTAAAGTATACAGTTCAGGGATGCCTGGCTGGCATAGTCAGTAGAGCATTTGACTCTTTTTTTTTTTTTTTTTTTTTTTAAAAGACTTTATTTATTCATTTGACAGATAGAGATTACAAGCAGGCAGAGAGGCAGGCAGAGAGAGAGGAAGGGAAGCAGGCTCCCTGCTGAGCAGAGAGCCTGATGCGGGGCTCGATCCCAGGACCCTGGGATCATGACCTGAGCCGAAGGCAGAGGCTTTAACCCACTGAGCCACCCAGGCGCCCCAGAGCATTTGACTCTTAAGTCTAGGGTTGTGAGTTCAAGCCCCAGTTTAGGTGTGGAGCCTATTTAAAAAGATTAAAAAAAAAAAAAGCGGGGGTGCCTGGGTGGCTTGGTGGGTTGAGGCCTCTGCCTTTGGCTAAGGTCATGGTCTCAGGGTCCTGGGATCATCAGGCTCTCTGCTTGGCGGAGAGCCTGCTTCCTCCTTTCTCTGTCTCTGCCTGCCTCTCTGCCTACTTGTGATCTCTATCTGTCAAATAAATAAATAAATAAAATCTTAAAAAAAAAAAAAGTGTACAGTTCAGTGGATTTTAGCATATTCCCTATGTTGTAGAACTGTTATCACTTTCTAATTCCAGAACATTTCCATTACCCCCAAAAGAAACCCTATACCAGCAGTCATTCCCAGTTTGTGTCTTTTTTTTTTTTTCCAACTCAGCAGCACCATATTGGTGAATAAACATCCTTATCACTACCTCAGATTTATTTCTTTTTTACAGCTTTATTGCGTTCATTGTGTGTACCACAACTTTTAATCAGCCTTCTGCTGCTGAACATTCTAGTTGGATGCCAGCAGAATAATTTGTACACGTGTAAGTCTAGCTGTAGGATAAAGTCCTACAGGTGTAATTGCTGGGCCAGAAGATATGGACCTTTAAAATGTTCATGAATGTTACTAAATTGCTTTTTCAGAGTAGCTGCTGTAACTATGCCCCTACCAATAGTCATCTCAGAATTTTTAAAATTTAGTTAGATGTATAAGCTTTTTTTTTTTTTAAAAGAACTCTGAATTCTGTCGTTTTCTTTGAAAGAAACGTGTAAACTTTTACTTTGTTAAAATTATACTTCTGTGGAGATAATTGCTTAAATGTCTTATTCCTAAATGTTCACTGTAAAATAAAGTCTGTAAAGCAGGTACTCTCAAATATGGAAAGATAGAATGCTATTTTTTCTGCACTATTCATCTAGATGGTTAGATTTGAAGAATTTCACGTTTCTTGTACATGTCATATGCTATGCTAAAAATTTGTGAATTGGTTTGGAAGAATGTCATTGCATGTTATTTTGTGAGTTTCTTTGATGTAAGCCAAGTTAATAGAGTGCATAGTCTGACTTGTTTGAGGATTATTTCAAGAGAGGGCATAGAGTTAACAAATCTTTTTCCTTTCTGTATGAGAATTTGCTCTTTGGTTAATTCTCTAGCTTTTGTCCCTGAGTAACTTGATTAGAAAGGATGCCCTCTGCGTTACTAGGCAACATTGCTTTTGGCAAAAATGACCCCAAACTGGTAAAAGGGGCTGGACTGGTAGGGATTAGAAATGCCTGATAGGGATGCCTGTGGATTTCCCCAGATGGGGTCACTTCTAAAATTGGGCAGTATCTTTTGTGGGGCCCTTGGAAAGCATGCCTATGGAGTTGTTATGAGAACATGTGGCTCCCTCTGGGAATAAGGTCTCTAAGTGACGGCAGGTCCCACGTGAGCTCAGTGTGGATCTCTGCTCACTGCAGTGAAGGCGGAAGGACTGCCCAAGAAGAGGAGCAGCGGTCGGTGGTTGGTGGCAAGCTGTGCTTCCTTGCCTGCAGTCTTCTGAGCGGACTGGTGCTCAGTGTGGCCTCGGGAAGGCCAGCAGGAGTCTGATGGTTACGTCGAACCCCAGAGAGTCCTATGGACCTTGCCCCTATGGGTGTTAGCACAGGTTATCCAAATTGGTATTTTCTGTTTCTTTGATGGTAAGGTTTAATGTTTGTGGGACTGTATAAGGTAATTTTGAACATTTCTGATTTTTAGTATGTGTGTCTATCAAGGTCCATCCAGCTGCAGTTGAATATCGGAGTTGAGCAGATCCGAGTTGTGCACAGAGATGGGAGGGTGATTACACTGTCTCATCAGGAGCAGGAGCTCCAGGATTTCCTTCTGTCCCAGGTAAGGATTGACGGTAGTCCTGAGCCTCTGCCTCTCCTAGCGCTTAAAGAACAAAGTGAGTAAGGAGTAGTTCACGTATATTAAGTTATAAAAAAAAAAAAGCCATTTTTTTTCTGCCGTTTATTTAATTTCTAGTGCACATTTTACAACTTATGGGTTAACTGAAAATGTTGATAAACTGTCCTAGATTTATTTCCAGTTAGTTTGTGTTGACGATGAAGGACCAGCTCTGAGATGACAAACTTTTTATTTCTGATGTCTGCCAAGGTTTACAACCCCTTTGGGACCTCATAAAAGTGAAGAAGTATTAACCCCAGAAAACCAGAGAAGAGCATATCAGATAGAAAACTATAGCGACCATTTGCCATAATAGTGGAATATTCTCCTTAAGCGCTAAGAAGAAATTCTTCAGTATTAAGGAGCAGCATGGAAAGTGCTGGGTTCTGGTTCCAGCTCCACCACACATTTGCTTTGTGACACTGGATAAATTTCTGGACCTTTCTTTCCTGTTCTATAAAATTAAGAACAGTATTTTTCCTATTTTCTTCATGGAGTTATGATGATCCAGTGAAAAACCGAGTTGTGGGAGAAAGCATAGGTGTAGAAATGCTGATATACCATTCACAAAATTCACATATTTCATATAAAATTTTTAAAAAAATACTGATGCTCTTCATCCTAGAAGCAATAATTTTTTATCCTGACTCTGATGCCAAGCAAATGAAATGCATTTGTGAGGTACAGCACCTCTTGGTTGCTTGCTTACACCTAAAATGACTTTGGTCACCTTAAGCATGCATACACAAATATATTGGAAGGCTGGTGGGTAGCTCCCAGAATTGATGGGAAGGCTTGAAGATCCTGATTTGCTACTTCCTTCCTTGATAGGGGCCGAATGCACTCCAGATGGCCCCAGTACATCAGACAGGATTTTAACAGGAAGTAGGTGGCATGCTCATATTACTAAGGATTTACAAAAGTGTGGGTGTCGGAGAACACCTGGGAGAACGTGGTGACCTAGTGCTAGTAATAACCAGGTAAGCAGGCCTGGGGGGCTTAGTGGTCACCAGTCCTAGGCTAAAGAGGTAAGAGGGGGGCTTATGGGTGTCCTGAAGCAGAGTCCTGTGGACCAGGCCACTTGAGAAAAGCAGACACCTTCTGTCACAGGATACAACCTCACAGGGGAGTGTACTGGGGTTTTAAGTGCCCCGACCTTACTCTCTTCCCTGCCATCTGCTTCCACTACCTGAGCGGTTCCCGTTATCTGAACCCAGCCCAAAGCCAGAGGACGGAACCCTATGGGTGATCCTCCCTAGGCAGAGGAGGGTGGTGAGTGGATTTGAAGGGGTAAGTGGAAGATAGTCACCCCCTGCTACTTCCGATGTTGCTCCACATTCGGTGGCCCAGCTGGGCTTCTCCACTTGGCTAAGCTTCGGTCCTGTTCCTGTGCTCAAGCTGGCCAGTGGACAGGGAAGAGGAGTCTCAGGCTATTTTAGCCTCTGCAGCGGAAGGTGGGATCCTCCCCGCAACAGTCACAGAAGAGGATTCCCGTGCTAGGCAGTGAGCACCCCAAGAAAAGTTTACAGTCGTGATGTCAGGTTACTGCAAAGGAAATCTCCATGGTGAAGATGCATAAAGTTTCCTTTTCTTCATTCGCAGATGTCACAGCATCAGGTGCATGCAGTTCAGCAGCTCGCCAAGGTCATGGGCTGGCAGGTGCTCAGCTTCAGCAATCATGTGGGGCTTGGGCCCATAGAGAGCATTGGCAATGCCTCTGCCATCACCGTGGCCTCCCCGAGTGGGGACTATGCTATTTCAGGTACGGGCCGCTGCCTTGAATGGGAGGAGATCTTCGGGAGTTTGGCCTTAATGTTCCCCTGTACTCATTAGACATACTTCAGAGTAATTTCTCTCTGCAGTGAGTTCATATAGGAGTTATGCTGAACGTTTATCTGATCACGGCTCTTATTCAGAGCAACAGATTATTGATTTTCTTTCTGGTGGTCATAAAAAATGTTTTATTAAAAACGTGACACGTTTTCCTAAGAGCTCTGAAAACTGCCTTCAGCATTGTTACCCTGCAGTTCAAAACCAAACCTTTGATGGATAAATGCTTTTGGGAAATGTACTGCGGCAAATAGGCCAAGTCACATCTGGTCCCCAAGAGGTAAAGGGATGGAACAGAGAGGAGAGGGGATTTTTAAGCCCCCACTCTGTCCAGGGCACTTTAATAAACACGTGTGTTAGCTAGTTGAAAATGATCTTTGGAGAACTTGGCTTTAGTATGGTCTTTTCTAATACCTGCTCTAAATATTTGAAAGAGTAATTAGAAAACTTAGCCCACAGAATCACAGCTTGTGAATCTGCAGGCTTGGTCATTGCCAGGTCTTTATTGATAAGAGTTTCAGAATGCCCATTTCTTCTTTGCTGAGTGATGAAGCCTCATTAAAACCTGAAGTTCTTAATTCAGAAAAATCTTGTCTGCATCTCTCCCAGTCCTGATTCCGAATGTTTGAGTTTCCTATCAGGTGTGTATTACATGTTTTAGAAAAAATATAGATTGGTCTTGTGAAAATACATAGGACATTTGACTTTCCTAAGCCAGAATTCATCTTGCCCCATTTTTATGGTACAAACAGTAATTCATGAATATTTATACTGGCCTCGTATATATAAATAAGCAAGCTTTTGGGGTTTTGGGGGAGGGCGGTTATCATATTAAAACTGACGGCCTCTTTTTAACAAGAGCTTTCAAGTTGGTAGACAAGGTTTTTGTATTCATGGTAGAATGAAGTTGTGGGACCCTTGTTTTCTAGTTTGGAAATTGTATTGATATTTTGGTTTTGCTCCACAGTTCGTAATGGCCCTGAAAGTGGAAGCAAGATCATGGTTCAGTTTCCCCGTAACCAGTGTAAAGATCTTCCAAAAAGTGACGTTTTACAAGATAGCAAATGGAATCATCTTCGTGGACCGTTCAGAGAAGTTCAGTGGAATAAAATGGAAGGTCGAAACTTTGTTTATAAAATGGAGCTGCTTATGTCTGCACTTAGCCCTTGCCTGCTATGATTTTTGTTTCCAGAACCGTTTCTAGTTTTTTTCCAGAGAAGTTTCCCAGAAACTGACTTGAGCAAGATGAACTCTAAACACAAGGAAGAGAAATTTTCCAAAAGAGCATTGTTTAAAAAAAAAAACAACAAATGTTTACCTAGCATTTTGAAACATTTCACTTTATAAGTGACAGTGCTTTGAAATGCAGACACTTATGTACAGTGATAGGATATATAGTAGGGGAGATGCAGAACAACTTTTTTTATGCAGTTAACTTGAAAGGTTACTAATTTATGGGTTCGAATTTAACTTTTCAAGTATCCCTTTGATGTTGGCATCAAATAAAGCATATGGTTAAAAATTCCAGATCTTCTCTGAACTCTTAACAACCTAAATATACTGTGTCTTTAGCCAACGTGTCTCATTCCACTATTTGTTGAAAAGATTGTGTAAGAATATTTAAACACTCTTGTGAGTCAGCGTTCCTCCAGGAGCACACTCAACCCAGAAGCAAGTGGAACAGCACACGGTGCCTGCAGGGGGAGCCAGCGCTTGTCTCAACAAACCAAGTACTTCTTCCTCCAGCTGTCTTAGGTATGACGGGGTCTGATACCAAGACTGGTACTTTGAGAGCTTCCTGGAAGGTGCAAGCTGAAGGCACAGAGGGTGTAAGGGACCTCTAGGGCTTCCTTGGGTCCCCTTTTGGTCTCTTCCCCCACATGAGTGACCTCTGCCCGTTTGGATCGGATGTGCTCACACCTCTTCCCCACCTGCCCCTGCCCTTCTCCAGCCTCTGCCCAGGAACCCTGGCCTCCTCTTCCAGTGAGAGTCTCATCCTGTCTGATTCCTTTAACATTCTTTCCTGAGGGGAAAATACTAATGGATCGGTGGATTGATTATATTTTACAAAAGACTTGTTTGAATTTCCTGGAACTAGCCCCCAATCCTAAAATGTGCCCGAGGAACTTTCCTTCCTAAGAGACTTAGGTGGATACGGGTCTTTTGGAACCACCATAAGTAATACATAAGCAGTGCTTTCCTTATGAGAAATACTTTTGTTTTTTAAAAGATAACCCTTTTAATCGTGTATAAGGTGACTCTGAAGTAACTTTAAAAGGTTTAAAAGAAAAATGGAGTTTGTAAGCCCCAAATACTGTAACATCTTCATATTTGCTTTTTTGTCCCCTTTTAATCTTTCTTTACATGGAAATTTTTTAAAAAATTGGTCTGAATCTGAATTATAAACCTTTTCATGGTAGCCCACAAAAGTTGCCTTAGTGAATTATCCTGAGCTCATCTGGACAGCTCATCTCCCATGAGGAGTCTTACGTAATTTTAAGGGCTCACACTCTGATACAACAAATCTCCATGGACTTTTGCCAGAGGACTTTTTAAAAAATTTGCATCCACTACAGATTGATATTTTGGTAAATAAAAATGAATTAGAAAAATTAAAGGGATACCAAACAAAAGCCCTCCCATTTTATGATAATAGACTTAAAATGGCTATCAAGCAAACATTTCTGGATGCTTCGTCTTCTCTCTCGTCATGAGCTAGTTCAAACAGGAACACGCTGAGCGGAGCAGAGCGCATGCACAGGGACGACCTCCTGTTCTCTTAAACTTCATCTGAGGAGAGTGGAACAGTTGAAGACTGACACCATCTTCGTATGCTTTCCTGTCCCCATTATTTTAAATCACTGGGTAGTGAAGAGCCATGACGCACTACAGAAACTGAGGTAATGGTGGGGGAGGGGCAGGAAATGGCAGCTCTCGGGCCTGGTGTTGATTCACATTTTCCAGCTTAATGTTGCAGCCTGAGTGACCTGGTGTTGGAAAGAGGCACTGTGAAACTTGGGAGACCAGTCGGAGAAAAGCAGTCAGTCCCTCACCCTGTGTTCGCAGGCCAGTAGGAGCGTCGTTCAGATGTCGGTTCTCTGCTCAGCTGCATCCGTTTGGCAAGGCTGCCCCCTCGGAGCCAGTTCCCTTCGGTGTACAGCAAGGACAAGGATGCCCCCTGCTCACCTCAGTGACGGTTCAGAGGCCTCCCTCAGTACGGTTGGTAAGGGGCATGAAATTCCAAAGTGCTGTGCAGATACCACACCAAACGACTGTTTTCTAAAAGTCAAGCGTTTTCGAATTTGGGAAGTGGTTAAGATGCCACCTGTATTTTCATTTACCAGTAGGAGAAAGCATTTCAGAATGTCCTGCATTGTTCACATTCACAGATGGTAAAGACTGAGTGCATCTGTGGCCATGAAAATTGTCTTTTTCTCGAGATCATTTTGATAGCCATGCTGTGTGGTCCGTCTCCATACCTTCGTTCTCCCTTCACTTCCTGCTCCATGTCTTTGCGGCCTTATGTACTTGGCGCCAAAGGCTCTTGGAATTGCACTTTAGGATGGGAACGGACATCATAGGTCGTTCATCCCCAACAAACCCTCCATCTGAAATAGCAAGCACTGGGATGTGCATGCGACTGACACTCCATCAGTGACCGGAGCTTGGTCTTTGTTCTGGAGCTTGCTGCTTCCTGTCTACCAGTCTACTTCCAGAAATTCATCCCGGAGGCATACTTCACAGAGCACAGATTCACAAAGACTGCTGTGTAAAGGTTATCAAGGAGGTCTGTAAGAGTGAAAGATGAGACCAATCTAAATGTCCAAATGAGGAGAAAGACTACATTATAGTAAGGGAGCCTCAAATACCAGTGCCCATTTTTACGTCTCTAAAAGTTGAGCTCAAAGGGCCAAGGAATTTTTCTGCTCCCAATATTCTAGCTCTCTTTGATTAGGAACCAGGAAAACTTTTGCATATTATATATTTGTTTCCCTGTTTACTGATCATAAAACATTTGTTGCAGAACAGACTATATTTGGCTATTTTGAAATGAGGGATGAAGGAGATTTTGAGACAGAAACGTAGCAGACATAGAACAAGGTAGAGAGCCCAGAAATAAGCCCACACTTATATAGTCAATTAATCTATGACAAAGACAGCAAGAATATATGGGGAAAAGACGGTCTTCAATGAACAGAGTTGGGAAAACCAGATCACTTTCTTACACGATACACAAAATTATCTCACATGGATTAAAGATGTAAATGGGACATCAGCCTTAGCAACATATTTATGGATATGTCTCCTCAGGCAATGGAAGCAAAAGCAAAAATAAACTATCTGGGCTTCATCAAAATAAAAAGCTGTACAGGAAAGGAAACCATCGACAAAACAAAAAGGCAGCCTACCGAAGATATTTGCAAATGATAGACCCAATAAGGGTTAATATCCAAAATATATAAAGAATTGATAAAATTCCACACCAGAAACAAAATCACCCCAAAACAACCAAAAAACTGACCAGAAAATGGACAGAGTATCTAGATAGTCATTTTTCCAAACAAGAAAAACAGACAATAAACCCGTGAAAAGACTCAACATCACTGATGATTAGGAAAATGCAAATAAAACCAGAGTGAGAGAGCACCTCACACCCATCAGATTGGCTAAAATCCCAAAGGCAAGAACAAGTGTTGGTGAGGGTGTGGAGGAAAGGGGGCCCTCGTGCACGGTTGATGGGAATGCAAACGGGTGCAGCCTCTGTGGAAAACAGTATGGAGGTTCCTCAGAAAACTAGAGCTACCATGTGATCCAGTCATTCCACTGCTGGATATTTACGCAAAGAAAGTGAAGAGATGGGCACCCGTGTCTGTTACAGCACTATTTACAACAGCCAAGATGTGGAAGCAGCCCAAGTGTGCATCCATAGATGAATGGATAAAGATGATGGTGTATATACGCAATGGACTTACTCAACCGTAAAAAAAGGTGAGATCTTGGCATTTGTGAGAACATAGACCCAGAAGGTATAATGTGAAGTGAAATAAGTTAGAGAAAGAGAAATACCATAGGATTGGAATCTAAACACAAAGGAACAAACTCTTAGAGGACAAATGAGTGGTTCCCAGAGGGAAGGTGGGTGGGGGATGCAGGACATAGATAAAGGGGATTAAGAGGTACAAACTTCAAGTTATAAAATAAGTCACAGATTAAAAGTACAGCACAGGGAATAGTCAATATTGTGATGACATTATTATGGTGACAGATGGTGACTGCACATACCGGGGTGAGCACTGAGTAAGATATGGAACTGCTAAATCATTGTTATACACCTGAAACTCCTAGAACATTGCACGTCGATTGTATATCAATTAAAACAGAAACCAATGCTTCCTGAGGTTAAAAATGTACACTTTGCTTAGAGTCTTGACTGCATTTATTAAAGTTTTTATTTGACAGATCACAAGTAGGCAGAGAGGCAGGCAAAGAGAGGAAGGAGCAGGCTCCCTGCTGAGCAGAGAGCCTGATTCCGGGCTTGATCCCAGGACCCTGAGATCACGACCTGAGCTGAAGGCAGAAGCTTTAACCCACTGAGCCACCCAGGCACCCCTTGGCTGCATTTATTTGTGTGATTTAAAAAAAAAAAAAAAAATGGGCGCCTGGGTGGCTCAGTGGGTTAAGCCTCTGCCTTCAGCTCAGGTCATGATCCCAGGGACCTGGGATCGAGCCCCACATCAGGCTCTCTGCTCAGCAGGGAGCCTGCTCCCTCCTCTCTTTGCCTGCCTCTCTGCCTACTTGTGATCTCTGTCAAATAAAAAATTTTTAAAAATCTTCTAAAAAAAAAAAACCTAAGGGGCAGGAAAAAAAAAAAAGTAACATTCTGAAAAACTTCCTGTAATTTAGTGAGTACACCAAGTTGCTAAGGCCTGTGGCACGATTTCACCTAAACACATCCACAGCATTTGACTCCGTTTACAAGTACTCCCAATCCAAGCCCCTTGGGACCCCCCAAAAAAGGGCAGCAATAGAGAGTCAGGATCTGTGTTTGGTATTTGAAAAAGCCCAAAGGAAATCTTACACTTACCCAACACTTACCCAACAAACTTCACCATCAGGTTGCTTTGCCAAAACACCATGAAATCAAAGTGATACCCCTGGTTATTTCATTTTGACCAGGAATTGTATTTAAAAAAATTTTTTTGAGGATTATTTTTCTTAATAATCTCTACACCCAACATGAGGCTTGAACTCATGGCCCCAAGATCAAGAGTCACATGCTCCTCTGATTGAGCCAGCCAGGCACCCCTGGCCAGGAATTCTAAATGACACTTTTATATTATTGATTAATAAAAACAGGAAATTAAATTATTATTTAATACATTTTTTGGTTAGTAAAATATTCTTGCAGACCATGAGGGACCTGAAGGATAAAGACTTAGTATTTTAAGGGCCAGACTCACCTGCGTAATCACGGGTCTGTTGCATCCAAGGAATTCAGCCTCCCTCTGTGTCCACATTATAAGGTCAAATCTACAGCAAAAACTTCAGATTTATTTTACATGAACAATGCTCTTTCTTCCTCCCCCAAACGGTCTCTGATAAGCTTCACCGTAAAACCCACCAATATGAGAAAACATTGACTCTGAAGTCCTGAAAGAGGGAAGGATTCCTAGGAACAGGGCTGAAAGTGTAAGGGCCTATTTACCCAGAGTGATGCCATCTGGTTAAATAATGATTTTGTTGTTTATACAGTAAAACTTAAACTGTCCCTGCCCCCAACCTTCCTCCAGAGGACTTACTTAAATCCCGGAAACTAGTCCCAGGTAACAAAGCCCAAATACAAGGGTGGGTCAGGCCAGGTGGAGGTATTCAATCAGTGGGGGATGCATACTGTCTCCTAGCTACCAAAGAGTATGGGCCCCACCTTTGGGTACCTTTTGGGCGCCAATTCTGACCAAGGTGATAGGCTGGTTCACATATCTACTATAGGGTAAATCGTAATTCAATTGGTCACTTATGTGTGACCTAGCAGGACTGTGCAGCTTTCTCTGTGTTACAGTCTCATTGGTCACCTGTGCGTGGCCAGGCCCAACCACATGGCCTTTGCCCTTAAAAGCTAGTCTGTAAGGCAGAGGGTCATCGCCTCTTTGCAAGAGACGTCCCTGGCCGGTCAGTTTGATTCTTAATGCTTGGCGCGAAATAAAGCTTTGCTTGACCTTAGCTTTGTATCAGTCTCGCTCCTTTGACCATGGACCCAACAAAAGCATTAGTTAACAAGAAGAGGAAAGATGTATTTAGAAAGATGTGTTTTTGTAGCTATCATTTGGAAGAAAAGTAATTTTTTGGTGAACAAGTGGAATGTATCAATGCTAGGGACTACACGGTGCAGGCAAGAAGAATGAAGTTTAGGAATAAGTAGACACGAAATCCTGCCCAAGAAACATGAAGGGAAAGCAAGCAAATTGTAGGACCACGTGTATAACAGAATCCCATTTGCCTGAAAGGAAAATGGCCGACTACTGCGACGTGTGACTTGTGTATGCAGAGACAGGCTCGTATATGCCTAAGTCTAAAAGGATGCTATTGTTTCCTCCGAGGAGAGGTAAGGGAGGGAGAACTTTACTTTTGACTTTATGTAGACTCCAGTATCATTTTAATCTTAGCATTTTTTTTAAAAGATTAATTCATTTCACATAGAGAAGAGCAAGCAGGTGGACAGAGGGACAAGCAGACTCTGCACTGAACCTGGAGCCAGTGGTGGGGCTCGATCCCCCATCCCTGAGATCAGGACCTGAGCCAAAATCAAGAGTCTGACACTTAATCCACTGCACCACCTACGTGCCCTGGTATCATTTTAAAGAAGGATTTCTCAGGGCTCTGGGTGGCTCAGGCAGGTGTCTGACTTTGGCTCAGGTCCTGATCTCAGGGTCCTGGGATCAAACCCCCACCCCGCACCCCATGCTCATGCATGTGTGCTTTCAAATCTCTTAAAAAAAAAAGAAAAAAAAGATTTCTCACCTTTGCAATTAAACCAAGCTACAACACCAACCTGACATTTAGAGAGCAGTGGCAGTTGAGCACAGAGCAGCACATTGCAAGTGTTGGAAAGGTGCCAAGGCCAAGGGAAGCTGTGTTCATGGACAGACACAGCAGCACCTGATCTCCTGGTTCTCCCACGCTGCCTTGGTCCGGAGTGAGCCCTGCCCGCTGTGTGCCCCCGCCCGCCCCCCCCACCCTCCTCCCATTTCCAATGGGAAATGAGAATTACTTAATTTCTCAGATCGCAATCTGGAAGGACGTTCTGTTGACAGCATGAACGTTCCATCCCGCATCTCACACACTGTCCAGCAAGGTGGGACACTGGCCACATCTTTATTTCAGCCCTTTCCAGAAGCAGAAAGGACTCTATTGAATTACGATTAATATTCTGGAAGCAGGGGCGCCTGGGTGGCTCAGTGGGTTAAGCCGCTGCCTTCGGCTCAGGTCATGATCTCGGAGTCCTGGGATCGAGCCCCGCATCGGGCTCTCTGCTCAGCAGGGAGCCTGCTTCCTCCTCTCTCTCTGCCTGCCTCTCTGCCTGCTTGTGATCTCTCTATCAAATAAATAAATAAATAAAAATATTCTGGAAGCAAAAACTTCAAATTAATTTGGGAAGATGCAGGGCAGAATGTTGGGCTGATGAGGGGTTGTTTTCCAAGACTGCTAAAGAATGCTTACAGTTAGAATCAGTATTAGTACCCGTGGCCGAGGCTGAGTGGTTTGCTTGTGCCCACAGCTGATGGAAACCTCCCCCAGGGCCTCAGAGTGCTTGGCAGGAGTGGGGTCACACACAAAGGACAGGTCTTTTATTTCCAGGCTTTATTTCATTCTTTAAATTTTCACAGCTTAAAACATAACTTATAGCTTAACATTTCCAGTAGCCACCCTCGAGGACATAATACTTTTTTTTGAAAAATTAGACAAAAAACCTTCAGGTTCTGGCCTCAAACACTTTCCACAAGAATGTTCTGGATGGAGGGAGCTTTAAAAGTGCAAAATAAAGAAACAGCCAGGGGCTAACTTTTCATGAGTTGGGGGGGGTGTTATTTTACACTTGGGTTTGCCCACAGAGGCCTGTCTCTCCCTCAGTATGCTTTGCCATTTCTTTTTCAAGATCTTATTTTTAAGTAATCTCTCTACCTGACATGGGGCTTGAAGTCACAACTTTGAGATCAAGAGTCACATGCTCTACCTCCTGATCCAGCCAGGCATCTCTCCACGCCTCCTTGTATTCTGAAGACGGCCACGCCTGACTTCTGACGCGCCAAGAAGTTCAGTTCTGGAAAGCGGGGAGTGTTGAAGAGGACACAGAACTCCAGCAGCCGCTGCCCAGATCCAAACCGGTTTCCTGCCCATGGGCCTTCTGTGTGAAAGAGGAGAAATGAACGAATAGTTGACCCTTGACCCTCTTTGTTCAGGTACTCCACCCAGCTTCCTCAAGGCCCTGGGGAAAGGACACAATTGTGTACAGAAGGTGGCCCGAAAGTGAGAGAGAACCTTCTGTGTCCAGCACTCCAGCTGCAAATGAGGCCTGTGGACCAATGGCACTCTTGCTTTTTGAATCAAACAGTGCCTTTAGAGTCCTTCCAGAAGGACTCCGGAAGGACAAAGCTCCTGTCTGAATCCTCCGGGAAGAGCTCTTCTTGTAACCTTGGATTATTTAGAGATAGGCTTCTTACCAACTTCCCCAGGCAACTTCTTGCTTGCCACATGGCAAGCAGAAGAGATGGGACATTGGGGACTTAAGGAAAAGAGGAGGGAATGTTCTAGCTCTCCTTCCTGTCTGCATGGGTGAATTTGCAGTTGGAGGCTGGGGACTTAGCTCCTGACCTTGGCCTCCACTGTAACTGAGGTGCTTCCTTTGGTTTGTAGCTAAGAATGCTGGAGAAAGAAGAATGGAAAATAAATTCATTCCTACTTTAGAGCTTGCCAAATAGAAGGCGGGATGGAGACACTTTCAAGTAAACACAGTGACTAACAAGCTGAGAGAATGAGAGCCAAGGCCAGCTCTGAGCCAGTCCCTCATTTCACCTGGAGCCCCAGAACCCCAGAGCGTTTTCTTACTTGGCAGCATTCAGTAGAAGGCTTATTGCTTTCCAGATCCTTGAAGAATCCTCATGCTGTTTCTTCAGCTGCCCGGGAGCTCCATGCATACTGTGGGCTTCATGTGACACCCTGGTGAGGTAGGTGAGCGGCAAGCATCCCTAAGCCCACTTGGGAGAGCACAAGGGCCTGACTGGAGACAAAGAGCTGGTGACTGAGGAGCAGAGATCTGAAGCCTCCGGTAACGTTCCAGTCATACCAGCCCCCATGCAGGCTCACTTTCACACAAGTGCCATGACCCAGCTTGTCAGGAAGCCCTGCGGACACCAGTTGCTGCCCACAAGTGGCTAAGAATATCCGGGTTCCTCCCACTGGTCTAAATTGAGGCCATAGGAGGGGAAAATCCAATTAATGTCCGAATAAGAGAGGAAGAGAAAGGCAATCTTCTCCCTAATTCCTGTTTCCAGTGCTGGTCCCTCAGGCACAAGTGAAGCTCTTCGCCTTAAAGCTTCCGGCCCAGGGCCTGGCCCTGCTCTGAGCACCTCACTAGGGCCCAACGGCAGCCTCGCAGCTTCCACCTCTGCCTGGCAGGCAGACCGTGGCAGAACTTTTCACAGAAGCTCCCACGGCAGAGGTGGGAGGGACAGGCTGGGCGGGAAGAACACAGAGAGCTTGTTCAGGGCTGGCTGCACGCTCAGTCTGGATGCGCCCTGGCCTCAGCCCCAGAGCGCAGTGAGCAAGCAGCCAGGCCTCCCTGAACTTCTTGTGAGTGCTAGAACTGACTTTTTGTCCAACCCAAGTCCTCAACTCCACACAGTTGATTTTGTTCACAGCCGTAGCGCCTTCAGGAATGGCTGGTCAAGGCTGGCCAACAGGAGGATGGGAGGGTGGTTCCGTCATGCTGGCTCCTTTTGTTGGAAAAATAACACTTTCCCTCTGAGGTAGGAATGTAACTGGGCGCAGCCTTTGCTAACACTCCACATCATGCAGCTCGATCTCCTCGGTGGTGCTCTCTGCAAAACAAGAGACAAGCCCAGGCAGATGCCCATCAGCTCGGGGGGTGGGGGGTTTCTCCTGGAGACCAGGCTAACAAGCACCCCCAGCCATGAAAGCGTGAATGGATGATCACAGGGCCCAGAGAATTACCTTTGAGTTTGTGTCTTCTCTTCCTCTGGAATTTGTATGCACACTTGTTACACACCCACATGAGGCTGATTAACAGCGCAGCCACAGCAGCGAGAAAAGCGAGGAAGACGGCAACAAAATGGAGGTCTTCGTAGAGGATCTCTACGGGGCGGGGAGGGGAACGGGGAGACAAGGTCTCTTTCAGTATCATGAAAGCACTCCCCCCACCAAGGCTGGCAGTTCAGCGGGGGGCCCACTCCCCGCCCCGTCTTGCCTGACACGTGCAGCACGATGGTGCCAAACTGGCTGCTCCCCAGGCGCTCCGTCACCGTGATGACGTAGTAGCCGGAATCCCTCACGCCCACACTGAAGAGCTGGATGGAGCCGTTGTCGAAGGTGCAGAGTCGGTCCTTGTGGCTCTGGGAGATGTTGGCCTGAGCCCCTGGCTTCCACTCCACGATCTTCTGCGCTCCCCAGTTAGACGTATACTTCCACTCGATGGTGGGGATGCCATGGCAGGAGTACTCAACCGAGAGCAGGATGTCCTCCTCCACCGTGGCATTGATGGCGGACTGGGGGATGTACAGTGACACGCCCTGACCTGCGGGACCGGGTGCCAAAACGGGGGCAACTTATATAGGAGCTGACAGGGGAGGGGACTGCCGGGAGTCGTTCATTTATTGAGCGAATACTTACTAAGTGCCTGTTCCATGCCAGGCTGTTGTCTAGGTTCTGGTGCTGGCCCAATATTTGTGTCCCCAAAACCCCCCTCCCCCGCCCAATCATGAAATTCCTATGTTGAAGCCCCAACCTCCAGCAGGACTATAATTGAAGATGAAGCCTCCAAGGAGGTAATGGAGGTTAAATGAGGTCATAAGGATGGGGCCCTGATCCAGCAGGATTAGTGTCTTTATAAGAAGAGACACCTGAGGGGCGCCTGGGTGGCTCAGTGGGTTAAAGCCTGTGCCTTCCGCTCAGGTCGTGATCTCAGGGTCCTGGGATCGAGCCCCTCGTCAGGCTCTCTGCTCAGCAGGGAGCCTGCTTCCCCCTCTCTGATTGCCTCTCTGCCTACTAGTGATCTCTCTCTCTGTCAAATAAATAAAATCTTTAAAAAAAAAAAAAAGAAGAAGAAGAGATACCCGAGTGCTCTCTCTCTCTCATTATCTCTCCACAGGGATACAAGGGGGAAATGGGAGAAAATACTGAGGTTGCAGCAAGAAGGGGGAAGGCAGCTGTCTACAAGCTAGGAAGAGAGCACTCACCAGAAACTCTGCCATGCTAGAACCTTGATCTAGGGCTTTCCAGCCTCTGGCACTGCAAGAAAATAATTTCTGGTGCTTAAGCCCCTCAGTGTGTGCTATTTTGTTACGGACTAAAACTGAATAAGACACAAGGTTCTTGTGTGCTCGATGGACAGTGAACCTCCCCGGAGGCCCCATTCTATAAGGGAGACATACAAGGGTGAAATAAACAAGATCATTTTAGATCATGACAAGCACTACTGACCGGTGGGGGTGGAGATGGCACACAGAATTAGAGAATGGCCAGGGAAGACTTCATGGAGGAAATGACATTTGAATGGAGACCAGAAGGACAGGCAGGCAGCGTGTGGACACTCGCAGGAGGAGCATCTCAGGCAGAGGGAGCAAGCACAAAGACTGAGGGGAGGGCAAGTACTGGTGTGTCTCAGGGACAGAAAGGCCGGCATGCTAGAATGCAGTGAGCAATGCAGAGACAGAGTGAGGCTGCAGAGCAGGCAGGACACAGGCCATGCTGTGAGGGGTGGGGGTGGGGCTTTACTCAAGGCTGATGGGAGCCATAGGGGGGCTTAGGTGGAAGGTGATATTCTCCATTAAGCTTGACAATGTTTGCTGTGCAGAACATTCTGGGGGAGGGGTGAGGGGACAAGAGCTGAAGCAGGACGAGCCATCAGAGGGCTGCTACAGGGGTCGGACAAGAGATGGAGGTATAGCCTCGCAGAGCATGAATGTGGTCTGATTTAGGCTACGTATTTGGAAGCAGGGAGGACAAAACATGCTGACAAACTAGATGTGGGTATGGGGGAGGCAGAGGCATCAGAGGTTTCTGTGCGAGTATGCAGATGTGTCATTTGCCATTGAATAAGGTTAGGTGTGTACACCGTTGTACATGTACTACGTAGGTACTACGCACAAGCCCTGTGCCAACCACATTCCACACATTGTCTCATCAAGTTCTCATCCACAGCAATGCCATCAAACACAGAGCAAGCCTCACTGTCCACAGGACTAACAAGCTTGGCAAAGTTCACTCTGCAAAGCACACAGTCACACAAGGGCTGCTGTTGGAATATTTAACCTCTAAGCTCGGATCAGTAGTCAGTGATTGGCGGTGGCAAGCACAGAATGTGACAAATGGCCCACACCCTGAGACGACTGGACAGAGTTGGCTGGACTGGATAATGAACAGGGCAGGACTGAAACTTGGAGCGCTGCCCTTGGTTTCCACCTCCATTTCCCCCTCAGTCTTTGAGAGCCCAGCTGCCCCAAGCCCCTGCCGTGTGGCTCCAGGTAACCACACCTGTTCCTTTTCCAAGCATGTCTCACTGTCCCCTCTCATCCCCAGCACATTCCCTTAGTGGTCCTCTCCTAAGGCTCTTGGCAAGGCGACTATGAATAGTCTGATAAAAGGCATGTGAAAAACTGAGATGTGGTAATGGTTTTTTTTTTTTTTTTTTAAGATTTTATTTATTTATTTGACAGACAGAGATCACAAGTAGGCAGAGAGGCAGGCAGAGAGAGAGGGGGAAGCAGGCTCCCTGCTGAGCAGAGAGCCTGATGCGGGGCTCGATCACAGGACCCTGGGATCATGACCTGAGCTGAAGGCAGAGGCTTAACCCACTGAGCCAGCCAGGCGCCCCGGTAATGGTTTTCAAGAATGGCAACTGCCAAGTAACAGAAATACATTTTCTCCCAACTCTATTTTAAAACATGTTAAATTCAGAGAAAAGTTTTTAAAGGCAAGTACAATTAATATGTATCCTTTCCTTAGTTTACTAGTTATGAACATTTTGGCACATTTACCCTTTTCTCTCAGGAAAAAAACAGAGGTCAAATTCCAGGTCAGCCCTTCTTCATCTCTGTGTCCCCAAACACAGTCCCTGATGCATAGTGATAGGTCAACAGGTATTTACTGACTGAATGAATAAGCGAATGACAAAATACTTAACAAGAAGGCTGAGATTTCCTGATAGAATTGTTGCTGCTGAAGTGGTATGAAAAATTAGCACATTTAAAAGGTAACACACAAATAAGAAAGAGAACTATAATTTAGTCAAGATTTTATGTGCCAGTTACTAGAATATATACTTATTGTACTTAGCAATCCTTCCCTAATGTTTTACATAAGTCAGCAACATGCCCATGTAGCTAGGAAATGGAAAAGACGGGACTTAAATGCAGTTTTGTCTGATCAAAGCCCTATGTTTTTCCCTAAAGACACCACCAAGATATTAGAAATAAATGCCAAGGGAAACAAGGGCAAACATGGACTATTGTGACTTCATCAAGATCAAAAGTTTTGCACAGCAAAGGAAACAGTCAACAAAATCAAAAGACAAATGACAGAATGGGAGAAGATATTTGCAAACGACGTATCAGATAAAGGGCTAGTATCCAATATCTATAAAGAACTTATCAAACTCAACACCCAAAGAACAAATAATCCAATCAAGAAATGGGCAGAAGACATGAACAGACATGTCTGCAAAGAAGACATCCAGATGGCCAACAGACACATGAAAAAGTGCTCAAAAATCACTCAGCATCAGGGAAATACAAATCAAAACCACAATGAGATACCACCTCACACCAGTCAGAATGGCTACAATTAACCAGTCAGGAAACAACAGGTGTTGTCAAGGATGCAGAGAAAGGGGAAACCTCCTACACTGTTGGTGGGAATGCAAGCTGGTGTAGCCACTCTGGAAAACAGAATGGAGGTTCCTCAAAAAGTTGAAAATAGAGCTACCCTACAACCCAGCAATCGCACTACTAGGTATTTACCCTAAAGATACAAATGTAGTGATCTGAAGGGGCATGTGCACCCGAATGTTTATAGCAGCAATGACCACAATAGCCAAACTATGGAAAGAGCCTAGATGTCCATCAGCAGATGAATGGATAAAGAAGATGTGGTATACATATGTGTGTGTATACGTGCATACACATGCACATACACATACATACATACACACACAATGGAATACTAGGCAGCCATCAAAAACCCTGAAATCTTGCCATTTGCAATGATATGGATGGAACTAGAGGGTATTATGCTAAGCGAAATAAGTTAATCAGAGAAAGACAATTATCATATCTCTCTGATATGAGGAATTTGAGAGATAGGGCAGGGTGTCGGGGTAAGGGAGGGAAAAAATGAGATAAGACGGGACCAGGGAGGGAAACAAACCATAAGGGACTCAATCTCAGGAAACAAACTTCGGGTTGCTGGAGGGGAGGGACATTGGGGACAATGGACATTGGGAGCATATGTGCTATGGTGAGCGCTGTGAATTGTGTAAGACTGATGATTCACAGACCTGTACCCCTGATACCCCTGAAACAAATAATATATTATGTTAAAAAAATAATAATAAATGAATTCAGTAAAGTTGCAGAATGCAGCTTTGCTGCCCATGGTCACCGCTGAGTAAGCATCGTTAAAGTCTCCCTCCTACCACCATCATGTCTAAGTCAGAGTCTCCCAAAGAGCCTGAACAGCTGTAGAAGCTCTTCACCAGAGGTCTGAGCTTTGAAGCCAAAGAGTCTGAGGAGCCATTTTGAGCAATGGGGAACACTTATGGACTATGTGGTAATGAGAGATCCAAACACCAAATGCTCCAGAGTCTTTGGGCTTGTCCCATAGTCTACTGTGGAGGAAATGGATGCAGCCATGAATGCAAGGCCACATAAGGTGGATGGAAGAGTTGTAGAACCAACGAGGGCTGTCTCTAGAGAAGATTCTTAAAGACGTGGTGCCCACTTAACTGTGAAAAAGATTTTTGTTGGTGGCATTAAAGATGTTGAAAAACATCATCTAAAGAGATTATTTTGAACAGTATGGAAACATCAAAGTGATTGAGATCATGACTGACCGAGGCAGTGGCAGAAAGGGGTTTTGCTTTTGTAACATTTGATGACCATGACTCTGTAGATGAGACTGTCATTCAAAAATACCATATTGTGAATGGCCATGACTGGGAAGTAAGGAGAGCCCTATCTAAGCAAGAGATGGGTAGAGCTTCACCCAGCCAGAGAGGTTGAAGTGGTTCTGGAAACTTTGGAGGAGGACATGGGGGAGGTTTTGGTGGCCATGACAGCTTTGGTTGTAGAGGAAATTCAGTGGGTGAGGTGGCTTTGGTGGCAGTCCAGGTGGTGGTGCATATGGGGCAATGGTAATGGCGATAATGGATTTGGTAATGATGGAAGCAACTTTGGAGGTGGCGGAAGCTATAATGATTTTGGCAATTACAACAATCCATCCTCAAATTTTGGACCTATGAAAGGAGGACATTTTGGAGGCAGAAACTCTGGCCCATACGGTGGTGGAGGCCAATACTTT